ATAAAGCGTTTTTGTAGGTGCTTATTTATTTTATTCAAATTTGAAGAAAATTAGATAAATATACTTACATTTAGTTGATCAAGGGGATATAACCGAGAAATATGATTAGTCAATAGAATGCTATCCCTTTGTTACTCTTTTTAAAAACTGGGCGAAAATTATTCAGGCCAAGGCGACTGCCGATCTCTTCTAATTTTATTTTATGGTCAACACAAACTTTCAGAAAAATGATGCAATCCCTTTTAAATAATACTTTAGATATAAAATTTAGGGATGCCTGATATTAAATAGATCATATACTTAAACTCAACTTATATAAATCTCCAATTCTAAGGAATTTTTATTATGAAAAATAAAGGGCAGCCACTCTAAATAAACTGGATGATAAAATAAATAATAATAAATGCCCCATAATTTTTTTTATTTTGCAGGATCAGGCAACACCTCAATATTATTTTTAAAATCTGAGCGTTTTGATGCTTCCAGCCGTGTTTCAACTATTAATCGATATGATCTCTTTATAACTAATGTCAAGAAAGAGGATAATGGAGTATATGCCTGCAGGACAAAAGATGCGGGTATTCAGACAGCTTCCCTTACCGTTCTATGTAAGTTTTTGCTCTCTTACTCAGGACATCATTTTGGTAAGGTAGGGAGTGGGAGCCCCCCCCCACTAAAAAATAAATAAATTATAATTAGCAAGATTTTTTTCCCACTTGGTATCACAGTATCTGTATCTAGCACAGCAGAAAATCAAATAAATAATAAAGAATTATTCAATTCATTTATTTAAAATTAACAATAGAAAACATTATCATTATATTTTTATTATTGTGGCCATTTTTATTGAAATTGCTATGACTACTATGAGTATGTCCTGTCGTGCCTCCCGTTATAAAAAAATCCTTCAACCCCCCAAAAACCCCCCCCCCCCCCCCCCCTTTCCCTTTTTCTGAATAAAACTGAAATGATGTCCCTGCTCTAACTATTTCTATTTCTGTTATCCTTATAATTATTGATTCTGCGGTTAGTGTATTTAGTATTTTAGTATTAATATTATTACTATTATTATTTATGTGTTAAGTGCTTCCGACCCTGAGTATTCATAGTAACCTAATTAATTATCTAAATTGCTTTGAATTCGATTAATTTTATTGGCTTATAAATTACAGACTGCAAGTAAATTTCATTTCTTTAACTTCCTAAAAAAACCGACAACACATTTTTTTTTCTTCAAATAATTTAAAAAGAAAATAGTTTTCCATTTGTACCATTAGATATAATTTCTTTTTTTTTAAAAATATATATATATTTGTGTATATATTTCCATTTCTGCTTTGGGTATCATGATACATATATAAACTAGATTAAGGCAGACTTATCATATTGTTGTATTATTTTTATATATCAAATACATCCAATTTATTCTCACTAGAAAGTAACATCTAAAACCAAATTTTAAAATTTTAGTTAAGGAATAAGGGTAAAATTATTCCCATTGACAATTTACATGCCGTTTTCAATTTCGTTCATTTATTATTAGGGCATCGTATCAAATACATCCAATTTATTCTCACTAGAAAGTAAAATCTAAAACCAAATTTTAAAATTTTTGTTAAGGAATAAGGGTAAAATTATTCCCATTGACAATTTACATGCCGTTTTCAATTTCGTTCATTTATTATTAGGGCATCGTACATGTAAATCAAATCTCATGGTAGATTTGATATTGTTCTTAAAGTGTTTGTTCCTTCATGTAATTGTAATTTTTTTTTGTAAAGAAACTATTGCTAAACAAAATTATTAATCTTTCCTCTGTAACAATTGAAAATTTACTATTAATAAACTCTCACTGTTTTATGCATAAAAAGACATCTTTATGAGTGTTTACTCACTTGCACTATGATCAGTTGCGTTTATCACAGTTCATGGAAATTAATTCCATTACTTAGACTAAAATAATTATTGATATATATATATATATATAAACCTTTTTAGTTTTAATTACTGCTATTTGTGTTTCAAGATTGCTTAGTTACTGTTCAATAAGGTTATCTTACAAGCACAATTAGATTTACAATTAGAATGTGTGAATTTCTCAGTGCCTCCTGGCCCACCAAGTATCACCCGAGATGACATGGGTCCTGTCTATTCAGAAGGAAAAGTTGTCAAATTTACGTGCTCATCAGCTGGGGGAAACCCTGATCCCACCATCGTGTGGCTAAAGAATGGAAATTTTACATCTGGTGGGTGATATTTTTGTAAAGTAATTTCTAGTTTTTTTTTACCTGTTGATTAAATCAATGTATCTGCATCATAATTTCAACCTTTTAATTTAATTCTTAGAGTCGCTGCATTTAGGACTACTACCTATTGATCAAATTAGTGTAGCTGCATTAGAATAATTATATCTGTTGATTGAATTAGTGTAGCTACATAAGAACTGCTAACTATTGTCAAATTAGTGTCACAGCATAAGAACTGCTACCTATTGATTGTTCATCCTTTGTTTAACAAATTATTTAGCCTCTTTTAAGACTATTAAACCTTTTTTTTTTTTCTTTTTTGTTAGATGGGTTTGGGTCACTTAAAGTTTCTTTGTTAGCTTAAGTTTACACAATGTAGCTTTTATCAGTCATATTTTATTTTCAGATATCCCAGAATTGCAAGCCTCTACGGTGCTGGGAGGAAGGTCCAGTAGTATCATCAGCGTTAAGCTGGACAAGAGTGACCATCAGGCCAACTACTCCTGTTTGGTTTACAATGAGCTCAATGTTAACAGCAAGCTGATGGATTTTGTTGTTTTAAATGTTAAATGTAGGTTCACACTTAGACTCTTGATGTCATATTGTATTTATCACGGTCACCCAAATTTATTAGAACAGACCCATTTTTCTCATGTTAAACGTCTTATAAATTGAATGTGTTTGGATATCAGTTTCTTAAATTTGTTTATCTTTCACTTCCTGTAGTTATTTTAAATTATTTAATGTAATGGAACCTTTTTAAGTGTTTAAGCATTTTTTTAAAATAATTTTTTTAAAAATAATAATCATATAGAGGCTTGATTCTTAGCATGTCTTATTTTGTGTACTTCCTTTGAAGTGAAAGTTATTAAATTTTGTGATTAAAATGGCTTAAATCAGAACATAAAACATTTTTTTTTCAAATTATCCTGCAGATTCTCCTAATATTGCATTCAGGCCATATCAGCCAACATATCTTGTTCGGATGGGATCCAATGTTACGTTTTACTGTGATGTGGATGCCAATCCAAGTGTTAGCTATGTTACTTGGTCTAAAGATGGAGTAGCTCTATCAGGTAATCTAAGATCAGAGCATCTTGACATGGTTGAAGTGATTTGTTGATCCATTTATCATGGGCTGAATATTTATATTTTAACAGAAAGATTTTGAAAAATTTATATAAATTAAAAGCTTTTATGTATTTAGTGTAAAAAAAATGACTCATGGCTGAAACAATAGATAAACTATTGAACTATTAATAGTAGGTTAAAAATACTCAACGTCACTTAAAAAGTATATCACATCTAGTCATAAAATGAATCTTAAGAAAATGATACCTGGTATATATAATAATAATAATAATAATAAGTGGTCTTATATAGCGCGGTACCCCGGCCTAGGGCTTGGCTAACCGCGCTGTACATATATAGCAAAGAGGCATAATCATAATATTAAAATAAAATACATAAATGAAATAAAAACAACATATAAGCAAAACAACACCATAGGTCTATTCATCCACCCACACCAGACATTTTTACAAGGAAACCCATGTACGTTTATCGGTTTATAGGAGGAGAATCAGTCAGAGTAGTATAGTTTAAATAGATGTGTTTTGAGTGCAGTTTTGAAGGCATGTGTGGTTGTTATATTGCGGATGTGTAGTGGCAAAGAATTCCATTGTTTGGGGGCGCAGAAAGAGAAAGATCGTTCACCATATAATTTAGTGCGTGTCTTGGGAATATATCAGCTTGGATCAATGACACTGGTATATTTCAGCTTGAGTCACACTACAAAACAATTAAATGAAATTTTTTCCTGAATGTCTTCCTCTGCCAACATAAGAATAAAGCGCACAAGAAAATCAGACTAAAATAGCAACTTGGCTTTTATGTAAGAAATGAACAGCATTTAATTCATAGTAATGAACAATCACCATGATCCATATTTTTTGTTAATTTCTTTTTATGCATGTAATTTTTATTTGCATCACCAGGTACAAGTTTAGAAAGATCTCTAAAGCCTGTCAGCAAGACAGACATGGGCATCTATAAATGCACTGCCAAAAATGCCATTGGGGAACGTTCAGCCACTTTAGATATTAATGTACAATGTGAGTGATTTGACTTGATAGGAATGGTGCTAGTTAACAAACTCATTATTGTCTTGTGAGTGATTTGACTTGATAGGAAGGGTGCTAGGTAACTAACTCATTATTGTCTAGTGAGTGATTTGACTTGATAGGAATGGTGCTAGTTAACAAACTCATTATTGTCTAGTGAGTGATTTGACTTGATAGGAAGGGTGCTAGTTAACAAACTTATTGTCTTGTGAGTGATTGTGCTTGATGGGAAAGGTGCTTAGTTTAAATAATAAACTCATCATTATCTTATAATCCTTGAAAAAAGTTGGCTGTCATGTTAACAAATTTTGTTGTCTATCTTAATCACTACTATATGGCATACCCCTTGCAGATAATTCAGCTCAGCTGTTTCCTGTACCATGCTATTTAGGATTTTCCTAGCCACAAGTTGACCCATATTTTATGTATTAATTCCCCTGCTAATTTGTTTCTTCCCATTCCTGTAGATCCCCCAATTATTAGCATTCCAGCAACTGTGACGGCAAACGAAGGAGAGAGTGTCAATATTAACTGTAACGTAGATGCCAACCCGATCCCATTCGAAGTCATCTTTTCAAAAGTGCTTCTGGACGGAACACAGCAGCCTAAGGCCCCATCACCGACTTTAAAGATGGATGTGGTCAATCGGACAGACGCAGGCAATTATTCCTGCAGGGCTCGAAGCCAGTTGAGGATTTCTGGAGAGAGTGTTGACCCTGCGATTTCTGAGGCTTTCACATATATTTATGTACAATGTAAGTTGAACAGATTTAGCATTAAATATATGTCTAATGTAAGTTGAACAGATTTAGCATTAAATATATGTAAAATGTAAGTTGAACAGATTTAGCATTAAATATATGTACAATGTAAGTTGAACAGATATAGCATTAAATATATGTACAATGAAAGTTGAACAGATTTAGCATTAAATATATGTACAATGTAAGTTGAACAGATATCGTATTAAATATATGTACAATGAAAGTTGAACAGATTTAGCATTAAATATATGTACAATGTTAGTTGAACAGATATCGTATTAAATATATGTACAATGTAAGTTGAACAGATTTAGCATTAAATATATGTACAATGTAAGTTGAACAGATTTAGCATTAAATATATGTACAATGTAAGTTGAACAGATATAGTATTGAATATATGTACAATGTAAGTTGAACAGATATAGTTTTAAATATATGCACAATGTAAGTTGAACAGATATAGTATTAAATACATTCACAATGTACATTGGACAGATTAGTATTAAATTATATATTTAGAATGTAAGTTGAACAGATATAGTATTAAATATATTCACAATGTACATTGGACAGATTAGTATTAAATTATATATTTAGAATGTAAGTTGAACAGATATAGTATTAAATATATTTAGAATGTAAGTTGAACAGATATAGTATTAAATACATATATTTGTGCTACTATAGAAGACAAACAGATATAGGAGAAATATATTTATGTGCAATGTGAGTTGGACAGATTTAGTATTAAACCTCTCTTGGGTTTCTAAGTTGTGATACAATGAGACTGATGAGATCTGGGACAATGCTGAGGGGTTGGGGGGGGGGATTTATGTTGGTCGAATGTCAGTTTGAAATGTCACAATTTGTTTCTACTTTAAACAAATAGTGGAACAAGATTTTTTTTATNACAATGAGACTGATGAGATCTGGGACAATGCTGAGGGGTTGGGGGGGGGGGATTTATGTTGGTCGAATGTCAGTTTGAAATGTCACAATTTGTTTCTACTTTAAACAAATAGTGGAACAAGATTTTTTTTATCGGTTTGAAAGGCAATTACAGGGCAATGAAACTGATGTTTTGGCTTCAGCAATTTAAACGGCTTAAACACAGCAGCTCAAAGATTATCCTACTATAAGACTAATGTTACATTTTATATCCATGCAGACAAGCCTGGAATGGCATCCATTGGGACAGTTCCTGACGTAGATGTTGGGGATAAACTGGAAATAACTTGCACCGCTACACCAAATGGTCAGTTGCACTCAATCTTTTTAAAAAATGTATTTAATGGTAACATTGCTAACTAATCTAACAATTATAATTTTTTAAAAAATATAATCAGTTTTTATAATGGCAAAATCTAAATTAAAACTCTCTATCTTATTTTTAGTAAAGAGATCAAATTAAAAAAAGCAATATGCTCTCCTATATAAATACTCAATAAATAAATATTTATGCAATGAATGGTGGATTATCTTTATTTCATTTATTCATCATAGTCACATCATTTCTTGAAGAATCATGAGTTTGTCATGTAAATAAATACATCAATATAATTTAACGGTCAAGATGTTTACACATTTATCACTAATTAATTGTTCCATTCCTCCTAAATCATTGTTTTTAAAGGTTGACCTAAAATTCACAAAATGACTTTTGTAGGTATTTATTTACATATGTTTATATTTACTTAATTAGGCTATCCTGAGCCTACTTACACATGGAAAAAAGATGGACAGACTTTGCCTCAGAATAGGCAGACCCTCACAATCGTTTCTGTCAAACTTTCTGACAACGGCCGCTACAGCTGCACACCCATCAACAACAGGGGGAGTGGTGAAACCGCCTTTGTCAACGTCAGTGTCTTTGGTAGGTCAGGTCATTCACATCGACATTATTATCCATTACTTCTCCTAACACAATAACTGGTAGCCAAGAAAAAGGTTCAGAGGAACCGGGTTAGGGTACCTACAGTCTCAAATTTCTTTAGTACTATGTACTCAAAATTAAGGTCTGTCTCAAAAAGAATAATAATATAGGCTATTTGTTTTGATAAGTCTGAATTGATATTTTTACCACTCATTGGATCCACTGTAGTTACGTTGTTTTTCTTGCATTCTAGATGGATCAATGCTGAAATTTATAGACTGTCCCAATTCATATCTGATAAAGATTTAATGAAAAAAAAATTTTAAATGTTTTTTTAAAAAAAATATACCAATAATAAAATGGCTAAATTAAAGAACCATAACTCAAAGATAATTTTGAAATAATTTTTTTTTCCCTTTACACTTTGCTTGTGGACAATGTTGATACATAAATAATTGAAAATTTTTTTTTAACAAAGTAAGATCGTTTACGTGTTAAAATATTTCTTTGATATAGTAAAAAAAACACATCTTGGACCTTGTCATCTTAAAAATATTTCTATTACCGGTATTTCTTTTTCAGAAATTAGCTTTGAAATTAAATTTATATAAATCTAATAATTTTATCTTTTTGAATAAACAAAAAAATGTGTTTTTCTTTTTCCCCCAATAAAGAGCCGCCATTGATAACCAAGAAACCAGAATTAGAGCTGAGTGTTTTCTTGTCTGAATCCAAAATGTTGACCTTGACCTGTGAGGCCAGGGGCTACCCCCAGCCGCAGGTGACCTGGTACCAAGAAGGGGAGAACCAGTCCCTCAACGTGCGACCAGATCTGTTCACTGTTGCCACGACAACAAAACCAGTTGACTCTTACAGCGTGCTTGTACAGAGTGTTCTACAGTTCAAAGGTCAGTTCAGTAACAACAATAAATATATTTCCTGAAAGCTGGACTAAGGTCTTTAAAACAAAATTAATTAAACATTTTGCTGTCCAAATGTTTGATGTCCAAATGTTTGATGGCTAATGCTTAGTATCCAAATGTTTTATGTCTAAATGTCATCTTTATCTTAATGCATGATGTCCAAATATTTGATGTCCAAATGTTTGTTGTCCAAATGTTTGATGTCCAATTGTTTGACAACCAAATAATTGATGTCCAATGTTGTTTGATATCCTAATGTTTGATGTCCAAATGATTCAACAGCTGACAAACAAAAGACAAAAAAAAGGAGCTTATTAAGCCAATAATTTTTTATGATATAAAAATGTAATTTAAAATGATATGCAAATGACATAAATTTTAAAATATATGAATTAAAATAACCTACTAATGACGTAAAGTAAGACAAAGCTGTTGTTCGTTAAAATCATGAGAAACTATAAGTACTTGGTAAACTTTTACATAGGTACGTACAACTGTTGTATGATAAAAATAACGTACATTTCTTTTTTTTTTGAAGGTTCTGCCAGATCTTTGTCATCGTTTGGTGGTCAGAGGACAGGATTACAGATACGAGACATTGGCAACTACTCATGTCAGGCTGAGTCTGACAAACATACTGACACACCAATCACACGCACACAGTTGCTAATTAACTGTAAGTCAGTTCAGTGAATAAGAAATAAATGAGAACAGACTGTAACGTAATAATAACTAATTTATACTCACGTGAGTATAAACAGAGAATTCATGCAGAAATATGGGAAAGTTTATAAAATTTATTTCATGTAGTCTTCCTAGGTCCGCGATAGTTGAAAATTTAAATATAAATTGAAAAATAACAAAATTCAAGAGGTCCTCCCTGCAATAGGGGTAACTCTCTGCCAGTCGATCCCCACAAATCAGGCTTTGGGAATTACTGAGCTAGAAAATCCTGATGCATGAACAAACTTGATGCCATTATTGGCTTTGACAGATTTGTATCTTTCCAACAGTCATGGTAATCTATTGTTTTATTTTCTCACTGTCCCACCTGTGCTAGAACCCACATCAAAAATACAAGCATCATTATATTGTTTTATTCTGACAGTCCCACCTGTGCTAGAACCCACATCTAAAAATACAAGCATCATTATATTGTTTTATTCTGACAGTCCCACCTGTGCTAGAAGCCACATCAAAAATACAAGCATCATTATATTGTTTTATTCTGACAGTCCCACCTGTGCTAGAACCCACATCTAAAATACAAGCAGCATCCAAGCAAGAGAAGGCAGAGTTGGTCTGCATTGCCCAGGGTTATCCTGAACCCACTCTTCTTTGGTACTTTCAAGGACTGCCACTCTCACGAGGGCAGTCAGGGATCTCCATCACGCAAAACCCCCTCGGCGGGGTTGGAAAAATTGAAAGTAGGCTGACATTTCTGAACGTAACAGACAAGAATTATGGTTCCTATCGATGTTATGTGCGTAATGGCTTGGGCAACACATCGCAAGATATTGTCTTAGCTAAAAAATGTAAGCATTTTCATTTTGTGTATACTGTTATTTCATAGTTTAATTTTTATTGTAGAAAAAACTTGTAGATAAATATATATTTTATGTTTCAAGTTTGTGCTTTGGTCATAAATGTGTAATACCAAATAAATGCACTATGGATAATAGGTGGATGGGTGTCACAGTCCATAAAAACTGAATTGGAATGCTGACCGACCATCTTGGCCAAAATGTCAGAAAGTACAAAATGTTCATACCCGTCCTCGTATTAATTAAGAAATGAAAGCCACTTGAGCTGACAAATTTGGGTATCTATTTATAGAGCTACCCCCCATGTTCTTTAATAAGTTGACAGTTACCCCCATCATCTGTATTCAATGGATAGAGTTACCACCATCATCTTCAATTCTTTTTACAAACAATCAATTCTTGACAGTTGAAGAAACAATTGTTTCCATTCTAAACAGCCCAAACAACGGTTGCCATTGTTTACGTGCAGTCTCCTCTCCACCTTAAACAGCCCAATTAACTGTTTCCATTGTTTGTGTGCAGCCCCCCCCCCCACCTTAAACAGCCCAATTAACTGTTTCCATTGTTTGTATCCAGCTCCCCCTGAACAGCCCAGCAACCTCACAGCCCCCTCCACCACTTGGGAGTCCGTCATGCTGGTCTGGATACCTGGGTTTGACGGTGGATACAACCAACGGTTTCACATCCAGAAATCTGGTGGAGGGGAGGAGCCTAAGAGGCTAGAGGTCGCACCAAGCTCTTCCAGATCTTTCAATGTTACCAGTAAGTTGACCTGGTTTCGTTGCTGTATTAAGTCTTGACAATCAATCGATGCAAAGAGCTGACAATTGATAGATGCATACAGCTGACAATCAATCAATGCATACAGCTGACAATCAATCGATGCATAGAGCTGACAATCGATAGATGCATAGAGCTGAATTATAAAGTCTAGTTGACATTTTATCTAGTTTATAAAATAGCACGATCTTGATGAATGGCAGTATTTGTATAAGTCGAGCACTTACTAGCCAAGTGCCCGATGCCAAAGAGTGGCATGACACCCAACCACGTTGATAGTTAAATTTACAGCAATGCCTAGCTATTGCGGCAGGCCTGTAACGTAATTGCCGGAACCATTAAAGAGCAGTAGCTCGTTCCAAAAAGTGAATCTAATATTTCAGTACAAGTCATCTCTGTCATTTTAACTTCCCTTTTATGTCACTTAGTCATATAACTTCTCACTGTTGTCCCATGGTATCTGTTGTCTTATGATATATGTTGTCCTATGATATCTGTCATATTTAGATATCTGTTGTCCTATGATCCTATGATATCCGTTGTCATATGGTATCTGTTGTCATATGGTATCTGTTTTTGTCCAATGATATATGTTGCCTTATATCTGTTGTCCTAGGATATATGTTGTCCTGTGATATCTATTGTCCTATGATATCTATTTTCCTATGATATCTGTTGTCCTATGCTATCTGTTTTTGTCCTATATCTTTTGCCTTGTATCTTTTGTCCTAGGATATCTGTTGTCCTATGATACCTGTTGTCCTATTATATCTGCCATCCTATGATATCTGTTGTCCTATGATATCTGTCATCATATGATATCTGTCATCCTATGATATCTATTGTCCTATGATATCTGTCATCATATGAGACATGTCATCCTAGGATATCTGTTGTCCTATGATATCTGTCATCATATGATATCTGTTGTCCTATGAACTCTGTTGTCCTAGGATAAGCTTCTTCCACAACCCTCCAGTTGTTTGACCTAGATAGCTATTCTAACAAATTTATTGACAGTTTTGTTGTTTTTGTTTCGATGCCCTAATAAATTTGTTTCAATATTTTGTTTTTCTAGAACTTCGTCCATCCAACACTTACACATTCCAAGTAGTGGCAGCCAATGAGTTAGGATTCGGGCCTGTCTCCCTGCCTGTTGTTGTTACAACAAATAGTACGTTTTTTGGGGTGTTTTTTATTACAATTAAAAATTGTCAAATTTCCTACAAGCCCAAAGTTTAAACTTCGAATTTGTTATTATTACCATGCATCGCATGGTTTACAATTTACCTCAAAATTTAAGCTTGAATAATTTAGTTTGTTACTATGTAATATTTCATAAGTTTTTGTGCTAAATAAGAGTTAATGTTTTGGACCTAATTAACTTTATGGTCATTAAGAAGTTGAACATATAAACATGAAACATATAAACATGAAACAATAAACATACAAGATCCACATAAAGATAAAACTTTTATGATTGTAACTCATGTTTTTTAAAGTAACTTTCTAAATGTTAACTCAAATCCTTCAAAACTGGGGAAATTTTTTTTGTTCACTATTGTATACAAATATAAGAAATTCTCATTCAGAACAGTTATATAAATTGATGAAATTATGTTTTGTTTTAAAAACCAGATTTGCTGATACCAACACTTCCGAAAATTCCAGTCTTTGATGCCAAATATAAAAAATTATTAGTTATCTCCCCATATGATAATGATTATTGCCTTCGAGTTGAAGTGAAAGCAGAGAAGGGAGACTGGAATGCTATCAATGGATGTATGAAGGTAAGATGGATAGATGGATACTGTTAATAATATACATGCCCAATAACTCTAATTACCGACTATAACAAAATAGTAAGCTAGAGTTGACCGAGCTTTGTTTGTTTCTCCTCCAGGTGATGGGTGACACACTGGAAATATCTCATAATGGAGTAACTGCTGTAAATGTCTCAGTCTGCCTGAGCCAAAGAACAGATGTTTGTGGAGTACCTGTAGCAGCAGAGATTAGTGAGTAACCATTGTATTGATTTACATTTGACTGTGATCTCCTGTGCCGTGCTGCTAACTGGTCAGTGATCTCCTGTGCCATGATGCTAACTGGTCAGTGATCTCCTGTGCCATGATGCTAACTGGTCAGTGATCTCCTGTGCCATGAGGCTAACTGGTCAGTGATCTCCTGTGCCATGAGGCTAACTGGTCAGTGATCTCCTGTGCCATGAGGCTAACTGGTCAGTGATCTCCTGTTGTGCCATGAGGCAAACTGGTCAGTGATCTCCTGTGCCATGAGGCTAACTGGTCAGTGATCTCCTGTGCCATGAGGCTAACTGGTTAGTGATCTCCTGCGCCATGAGGCTAACTGGTCAGTGATCTCCTGTGCCATGAGGCTAACTGGTCAGTGATCTCCTTTGCCATGAGGCTGACTGGGAATTTATCTGATGTGCTATTAGGAAAACAAATAACTTCCATTGCTCAACTGACAAAGTTAAAGGGCCAGTCAAATTATTTTATATTGTCAAACAATTGTTTAGCTTTTCTGTTATTTGCACCTCATTGATTGGCTTATGAGGTCAATCTTTGAGTGGCTTATGAGGCCAATTTTTGAGTGGCTTATGATGCCAATCTTTGAGTGGCTTATGAGGTCAGTCTATGAGTGGTTTATGAGGGCAATCCTCCAGTGGTTTATGAGGCCAATCTTTATGAGGCCAATCCTCAAGTGGCTTATGACGTACATTTTTAGTGGCTTATGAGGTACAACTTTCAGTGGCTTATGAACCAATCCTGAAGTAGCTTATGAGGCCAATCCTTGAGTGGTTTATGAGGTCAATCCTTGGGTGGCCATTTATGCCAATCCTGGAGTGGAAGTATCAACTGAACTACTTTCTTTAATATACCGTCTATGTCAGCAAGCAAAATTTAGTTGCCAATGCTTATTTTGATTTTCTTCTATCTTTTTTTTTTTTCTGTTTTATTCCACAAACTTTTTATTTTATGATTTATGTTTTAGCTCATAGCATTAGTATAATTATATTTTTTACTTAAATATATCTATTATTCAAATTTATGCTGATAACAATTTTATAAACAAAATTTTCTGGTTCTGGTAGTGTTTGGTTGCTGCATCCATGTACTGGCATCTTTGCAACGGTTGGGGGTATGATTTTGCTATTCTAACAGCTCCTAGCTGATGCCAGGGCAGCCTTGAAGCTTTCGACCGATGTCGAGTTCACAGTGGCATCATCCAGGAGGTTCCATGCTATTATTGTGCGTGGGAAGAAAGATTGTTGATACTGCACTGTGTTGCACTGAGGCACTATGAAGCATTTGCTATTGTTTCTGGTGTAATTGTTTATGGGAATGTCAGTGGTGAAGTCCGTGTTCAGTGAGCGTTTTGCTCTGATCAGTCTGCCCGGCTTCTGTGGGTTGAGGTACGTGCCTGCTGGGATGGCCGGCACCAGTCCCATGATCACTTTATATAAGAAAGTCAGGCGGAGTCCCTCTCGTCTGTCTTTAAGGGGAGGGATGTTAAATCTTTTTAAGAGGCCAGTGACGAAGCCAGGAGTGGTGGATTTGTAGTTGCAAGCGATAAAACGCACTGCGTTTCGTTGAATTTGCTCCATCGTGTCCACGTCTTGCTTAAGGTGTGGGTCCCAGATGATCGCACCATATTCCAGTAGTGGACGGACGAGTGCGAGATAGGCATTTCGTTTGCAGGAAGTTGGGCAGTGGCTCAGATTTCTTCCGATGAAATCTAGGGTGGAGTTGGCTTTTTTTTAGAAATTTTTTTTATATGGGGTGACCATTTTAGGTTATTGGAGAAAAGAATTCCAAGGTATGGACTGGATACTTGTTGGAGGATTGTCTCCTTTAGTGAGTAAATATGAGTTGATGTTTTTTTTCTTGAGATCGTCATAGTGTACCATTTGGTTTCATTAAATTTCATGCCCCATTTGTCTGCCCAATTCAAAAGGCACTTCAAATCTGTTTGGAGGTGGTTGTGGTCATCGTTGCTGTTTATCTATCTGTAGATAAGACAGTCGTCAGCGAACAGCCGCACTTGAGAATTTACTGTATCGGGTAGGTCGTTTATGGGAATGTCTGTGATGAAGTCAGTGTTCAGTGAGCGTTTTGCTCTGATCAGTCCACCCGGCTTCCATCAGAGAAAAAATATATTTAATAAAAATTGCAGTTTCACACACTTATGCACTTCGTATGCTACATGTAAGTAAATGTATAATTTACTCAAAATAATTTCAGCTTTACACAAGCTGATATCTAAAACTCTAAACTTATTCTAGAAATAAAATTGTATACTTATTTCTCATAAAAATCTTATATGGATCTTGAAAGTAGGTGCGATAATAATCATGTCAATATTTGTGGATAAATAATAAATGGGGGGCAACTCGGTTTGCATTTGATGGTCTATTGTATTGGATTAACGCCCATTTGAGGGGGGGGGGGAAGCTTGGCAAAGTTGTAAAGAAGTAGATAATTTTTTATAGATTTTTTGTAATGATTGCAAGAATATTTATGTAGTTCTCTTCATTTTTTATTTAAAATAAAAAGCTAAATATACATTCGGTGTTTTTCGGTGTATACTTCATGGGATATTTAACATATTATCTTTAACTGTAACCCGGGTTGTCGTAGTTTGATTTTGATGTGTATTTATTAAAGTAATTTTAATTTCAAGATTTGTTGTGTTATTAACTTTTCATTGTATTTTAAGAGAAACAAGACATTTTATATTCCCCTCGTTAAATTAAATTAATTTTGATGTTATGAATGACAACATTAGTGCTCTTATTCTTAACAAAGCCAGCCTACTAGTTACTGGTTGAAGCGTGAAAGTATTTATTGTTGTCTTGCCCCTTCGAGCTATAAACGCACCATACCATAACTGTAACCGAGGTTTGGAAAATAATGGTAGTAGTGACCCTTCAACCACACTAATGTCAGGTCGGTGGACCCAGTGGCGGAACACAGAGGAGGTCACATCTATTTTTAGCCGTGAAGAAGTTGTTGCAGTGAGCTTCATCGTTCCTTTAACGGTGTGTGCGTACATTTCAAATTTTGCTAAAATAATGATTGCCGGATGCGTTTATTAGTTATTAGTTTTATGTTAGCTTTGACTATTTATATTTGTTTTGTTGTCTTCTTTAATTTTTAACAACTAGGTGTACTATATATTACGTCCAGTCCACCTTTCTATTTCTTTCCAATCCAAATTATGTATCAGCCAATGTAAACTTCGCCATGTTGTTTTCAGTCGTTTGAGAAACTGTTGTTAATATCAGCTGACCATACTATTTCCATCCTTTGGATAAGTGTCCGATATCAGTGTTATATTTATGGGTAAGACTTTCTGTAATTTTCTTTGTATGCTCTGTTGATTTGTTTCTCTTATATAACCGATTAAAGTTACTTTTGCTTTAGTTTTTAACTAGGTCAGTTGACTGGCGCCGGGGTGAACCCGTACCTTTTTTTTTTCTTTTCGGGGGTGGGGAATAGGAAGGGTCACTATACAGAATACTATAGTAGTGGACGGCACGGCGATGTTTATTTATTTTACTGTCTTTAACTTAACAATTACAACATACAAAAAAGAATTGAAACATAGTAGTTTTACTCTGAATATACATATCTGCAAGTACAGGTATTGTACCATATAAAAGTATTTATGCAGTGCTCAGTACAATCTGTACAGTCATGACCATGAGTCTTGTACTTGATTGAGCAATTTAACTTAAATTGAAATTAAAGGAAGCATAATCAAATAAACAAAGTCAATTTTTTTTATTAGGTCTGTTTTGCATAATTAGGCTTAGATAGTCCCTATACATTAAATATTATATAGGGTAACTTACAATTAAACTCTATTATTATTATAAATATAAGATTCACAAGTCAGTCAAAGTCAAGTCTCATGTTTCTAATTCTAGTATAATTTTTGTAAGACTTTTGAGTGTGTAAATCGTAGGGTTATCATTTAAGTTAGTCCTTCATGAAATTCTGCTGGAAAATTCACATAATTTGAATGACACGGTTTGATTATTTTTGAGTTCATTAATCATTACTTTAAAGCTACGCTAAAAAGATCAGTATTAAAATATGCCTTTTAACATCACCAGAGAACAGAGTAACCATGGGCACCCGCAGGGAGGGGGCACTTACCCCCCCCCCCCCCCCC